AATATTTAATTAATTAAATACAAATACATGAACAAATCATTCCACACTATTAAAATCAACTACAATATGTTGGTTTAACACCATTATTTCTCACAAATTTGTTTTCTTCCACATATCTCTAAAAGTGTTTGATAGGATATAGAATTGTTGTTTTAAAAAATGTCATCCTTTTTCATATAATTTTAATAGTAATATTGTACTCACATTTCATAACTCTAATATATAAAAGTTCCTTAAAGAAATTAAAATTGATCTAACAAAAAAAGCATAATAAACACTTATAAAACTAGAAATCGATATTGTTTTTTTCTCATAACGACCACAAAGTATAGAAACATTATTTTCAAAATAACCTATACAAATGTGTAATAGTATGCGAGATTAATTGTTGAATGATTGTTCTGCAACCTAAACTTCTAATCAATTCAATTTCTTCGATACATAAGACCAGAATAATTTTATGAAATTGTATAATACTAAAACTAAATCTATTTATTTTCATGTCATATGAGATACCACTTTAGCAACATGGATTAATTTTAACCATATAATTATCTACAAATAAATTAAAAATATCTCGAGAATCATAATATGATTTACATGTTGAAAATTAATTATTTTAATCAAATATTATATTCATATATTATCATTACTCATCTATCTATTAATATGTGTTATTACAATAAAATGATTTTAAAAAAAAAATATACGAAATAAAAAATTTATATATTTGAGTATAAATGAGAAGATTATAATTATATATAATATAATATAAAGATATAAAATTAATTGATATAAATAAGACATATGATTCAAAAAGGTGCTATACTTTAATTTTATGTATTTTTTAACAAACCTAAAAGTTACATACACACACACATATATATTAAAATACATATGAAAGAACAGTTTAAAGTTAAAAAAACAATAACTCTAATAAATAATATTAAATTTATAACTAAGTTGTAATACTTACTAATAACTATGAAAAAGTAATAAATAAAAATATTATAATTAGTAAAAGTATTTGTAGAACTTTTAAATTTGTATTTATCGACATAAGCAAATAAGTGTAAATAATTATGTTTTTTAAAATTTTATGAACAAAAGTTGACTCGACAATATTATTGATGAATTTATGAATTATAAATATTTAGTTTTAGTATAAATTAAAAAAAAATTGTAATGGAATATAATATAATATAAGATATACAAATAATTGAAATATAATGAGACAGATGGTCGAAACAATTCTAGACTTTATCATGCATTTTTTGACAAATCTACAGTTAAGAACATGTAAAAGAACAAGATAAGAGTTTAAAAAAAAATATTAAATATGATAAATAATATTAAAAATAAATAAGTTGTGACACGTACTAATAAATATGAAACAAAGTAATAAATAAAAATGTTATAATTAATAGAAGAAATATAAACCTTTTATAAATATACTTATCGACGTAAACGAGCTGAGTTGTTAATGTTAGTTTTTTCTCCTTATAATTTTGTGTGTAAATTTGATGTGATAGACAATAGTTATTTGTACATTTATCAATGTAAGTTACCAAAAAAAAAAATCTTTATTATTCTAATTTTAAATAATTTTTTATTTGCTATATTAGTTTTTTTGTAATATAATGTATAAATATCATATTGAACATATAAAATAGGAAATATTCTAATATTTAAATATTTAATATGTAAGAAATATAACTCAATTGGTAAATTAATAGGTAATCTTGAGATAAAATAATGAGTGATTCTGAAAAAAAAAATATATAGGAACTAAAAAGTTCATGTGTTTAATATATTTTTAATAGAAAAATTGTAAACACAATTAATCAATAAATACTACATAAAATTTAATGTTTAAGAGGACTACAACAAATTTCTATATTGCAATGAAAAATTCAACAGTAAGGTAATCTACAGAAAATTCCAACGAATATTTCATAAATATTGCTTTCATTGGAAAATTTTATTAGCTATTCCAACAAAGTTCAAATTAAATTACTTGAACTTGAGTGGATTTAAAGATTTTAATTACTTGAATTTCCATTGGATTTTTTTTGGACCATATTTCAATCGTTGGAAAAACTGTCATTGGAATTGTGCAAAAATTCAATGGAAATTCCATTGGAAAGCAAATTGCAGTGATAGATCTAAAATAATTTCATATTGGTGGTGTTATTTAGTTAATAGAAAAAATATACCATCAAAATAACATGTCATGGCAATTTATAAATTAATCTATCACCTTTCTCATTTTGTAATACATTTTAATAAATCAATACAGTCACAATAAAATAAAATATATTAAAGAAACCAAAAAACATTATTTTTCTCAATTCAACTTAAGAAGATCGTTATATTCTTGTTGTAATTTTCGTTGAAATTTTCTCATTTTCTTGTAGTAAAAGTAGGACTCCAAATCTATATTAAAAAAATAAATAAAAAAAAATTGCATTATATATAATATTGTGTGCAACTATTATTATGAAAATTTTGATATGATTCGTATAAAAAGTACATTTTTATCAAATATATTAAATTTACATTATATCTTATGTGATTATAGTAGTTGCAGCCTAATAAAAAAAAATAATTTGAAAACATCATTATATAAAACACATACAAAAAATAACGCAATACATATAAATGTGCTTTAATTATTTAGCAAACAAAATATTATTTGTCTACAGAATAAGAAACAAATAATATAATAGTAACACAATGAGAAAAAGAATACGTGTGAATTTTCTTACAGAAGTATGAATACCAATATTTACGAACAAAAAGTCTTTGAAAACTACTACTTTTTTATTGCTAGCGTTTAAATATAGGGACTTTGTAAGAAATTGATTTTCATAAATAATGATCCTATATTATTTATTTTTAATTTTAAATAATTAAAAAATCCAAAAATTTGTAATACATAATGTATAGTTTAATCATGACTCCATAATAATAAACTTTGCAGATGACTAAGAGTATCATAATATAATAGAATTCTAACTCTTCTCCTATCAAATATTTTAACAAATGATATGCTTCTCAATATTTTCTCATTGTTTTGATTGTTTTGTTTTGTCATTGTTGGAGAATAAAGAACTGATCTTTATCTTGAATTTTATAATCATTTTGTATGATGAATAATGTTGGACAATAAAAGCATTAAAGAAGTTATTAGGCACACAAATATTGCATATTTAAACGAATGTGAAAGATATTATGATAAACAATTCTAAAATCATTGCAACAACCATGATGGTCAATAATTTTCAAATAATAGATTATATTGCTCGTCTATATTCCAAATAAACAACAATGTCGGAGTATCAAAACAATTTTGAATGTTCGAATGAAGTTGTCACTTTTTATAGAAATATTATAATCTCATCGGTATATTGTACTCGAACATATGTGCAATTACTTTAGAGGTACTTTCAAGTAATGTATGATGATTTCAAAAAATAATTTAGTACCTCGGGAGAAGTACATGTAACCAAAATTTTAGAAATATGTAACCAAAATTTTGGAAAGTCAACTTTTATTTGGAGATAAAATTCATTCCCACCTCGTGGGGCGATGCATCAATGGGGTAGACACCAATATGTCTAGAGACAGAGGAATGTAGTAGTTTATACAATGATAAAAAATACCAACAATTTTAATGACATAGTTAGTTATTTTATAGAGATACTTATGCATTGTTAGTAGAAGTACCTTATTATAAAGATTATACGATCATGAAGTTTGAATATATATTGGGTCAGAATATTTCTTAAGTGTTTGAATAAAATTAACGTTTTGCCAAATGAATTAAGAGAAATTTTGCAATAGTATTGATGTATTAGACTTCAGCGAGTATGAATGTTTTCTTACAAGAAAGATAAAAGAAAATTTTAGTGGTTTTTGTATTAAGGATTTGTTTTTTATATATTTTAGTTGGAGGTTGTAAAACGTTATTTCACTCTTTTTATATTAGGACATCATTACGCTAATTTTAAATAAAAAAAATCACATATGAATTCATTTGTTCTATATTTTATTTGATTCCTGCAATGATATGTTTAATAAATAGATTAATTTATTTTATAAACTTACTCAGCAAAAATCATTCGATACCACGTGCATCGCACGTGCACTTTACTAATTACAGTAAAACAAGCTTTATGCATATCAAGGTTAGAGTTTTATGTGGAAGCACATGGGACAAACGGTCCGTCTAAATATCTAAGATCTAAATATTCAAATAATGCATGTGAAAACTTTAAAGTAAGCATTTCATAGAAATTAAACCATGTATTTACATTTTTGTCGACCCTTATCATCTTTTGTATTTGAATTGAAGCCCTTTTTCCACAATGTATTTAAATATTCAAATAATGCATGTGAAAACTTCAAATAATGCATGTGAAAACATTTGTTTCTTGCTTTGCACATGTGCATTTACTTTTTATCTCCATTATTAGACTTGTTATACGGAAAAAATTACCTGTACTGAAGACTGCCCGCATCTTTTACTTACCAGGATAGCATAGGATAACTTTTCTTAACCACATATCTCTAAGAAATTATGTACACAAAAATGAAGTATGAAAATTTGCCAAAAAAAAAAAATAATAATAATAATGCAATAAAAGCAATCCAAAAAGAATAAATGGCTCGGTCCTTCGGCTAGGTATAATCGCCGGCTGGGAAGAGGAGAAATCAACGACGAAGCGGTTGAGAACTTTTTGCATATGTTTGGAACATTCGGCCGAAATGATATGCCGAATATATTTTTAAAATAAAAGAAATTAATCTATTAATATATAAAGAGGGAATGATAGTTTTTTGAAAAAATCAAGTGAAAAATCAGCAAAAAAAGATTTCAATTCCCGCCTAAAGTTTAGCATAATTTTTGGCGAAAAAATAAATATGTCCCGCCCATGCAATTCAAATTTTTTGAAGATTTATTGATTGATTTCAATTTATTTGGACTTATCTATTGCTTGAATAAAAAGATCCGAAAGAAAAAAGGAGACAAAAAAGGAAAATAATCTCTCTCTTTCTCATCCCCAAATCCTTTTTTTTCTCTCTCCATTTTTTCCTCTTTTCTTCTTCTGCCCAATTTTCTTCTTTCCCTCATCCGTCACTCTCCTTCTTTCTTCTTTCTCCAACCCCAAATTACCTCCCAACATCAGAATCGGTCAGACATCCTCAACTATCCTCTTAAAATTTATCAATAACACCCAAGAATTCTAAATTTTGAAATCAATTTCCTTTCTTCCCCATCCAATCGTTTCTCTAAAATCCGGCCGGTGGTCGAGCCTGAAAACAACGCGGACGGAATTGAATCGGCCAGAGCGAGGATGAGGCCCGTGTCGGAGATCGGCAGACGACTAACAACGCAGGCTGTATCTCCGTCCGAGTAAGCTTCTTGGCTTTCAGTTAGTTGTGTGTGCGGTTTTTGTTTAATTAGAAGAATAAAACCCAGTTAGTCTGTTTTTCTTTTAGTGAGTGAAGCGAGTCACAGAAAATAATGGGGTGAAAGGCGAAATTTCGTAGATGGAGCGATTTTCGCGACAAAAGCTTCTGAATCGAGATTCTGTTTTTCTTTTTTCCTTTTCAATCTGTGAGCATTTATCCCGTTTTGTGTAGCAGTGGAATCATAATTTTTTTTTTCAATGTTTTTTGAGTCCATGAATGTAAAGTTTTGATTTTTGGTAGTTTTACTGAAGGCCCATTTGCATGAATGCAGATGAGTTGATTGTTTTCTGTGATTTATTCTTTTCATTCTGAGATGTTGTGTGTAAGATTTCGGTGGTTTAAGGTTATTTCACCAAATTCCGTTCTCTTAAGAAGCCGTTGATCTGTACAAATTGACACGAAAACAAATGAGAGTAATTTTATCTTCGTTGAATTGTTCTCTTTCTTTGTTTGATGGAAATATATAATTGACTGGTCACCAGATTTTGTTAATTTAGAAAGTAATCAAGTCGTTTTCATTTAGGTCTGCGTAATTTCTGCTTTATGTGACTTTGCTTGCAAAAGTTGGAAAGATTATGTTCGGTGGATCTCAGAATTATCTGTGCCGTGAGTACTGTCAATTTGCTGTTCTTTGATGTATTCTCCCTTCTTTATTTTGTTTTGTTTTGGGCAACAGAGACATTCATTAGCAGTATCTCACTCAATAAGTTTGAGATGAACTAAGAACTATACACATCCTTTTTCTTTTAGGGATGAATATTAGTCTTTCTTTTTTCTTGATTATTTATAAAATTAGTGATGATGGAAATTTTGTCTACTCTTATGTGCTTTTGATATTATTGAACTGTGGCCTGTGAAAGGTGATGTTCTATATTGGAGTTCATGGCTATGTTTACATGCAAATTGCATTTTGTCTACCTTATGTATATTATACTAATGGACTTGGGTGCTTTATGAATAAGGGTGTCTGGACGGACTGAACGTGTCATGGCTTTCGAACGTGGGCCGGCGGCTTGTGTCTGCACGAGGATTCTGTTCGCCGGACATGACAGAAAAACCAGAAATCGGACTGGGTAGCTGGTCATCACCAACCGGATCGAGGAATTCAGGGAGAGGTCTCTCGAGCCTGCTATAAGTTGTCTTCGAGAACACTATAGTAAATATATATATATATATATATATATATATATATATATATGATAATTAGGAATTAGAAATGGATAATGCTGTTTGGACTCCTACCGAAGCTGGGACTCAAGCCTATTGGTAGGGCATGGATCTGGTTCAAGAAAAAAATGAGCAATTTTTTTTCAAATCTGACCTTGCTGAGTTTGTCTTGTGCATTTCAAAATGAGAAAATCAGACTTCTGGCTACCTGCTTCTATTTCTGTTATCTTCTTTTCTAAGGATTAATAGCTGTCATAGGTAGCTTTAGCTTGCTTCCCTTCTTCCTTCTTTGCTTGGGAATCAACTGAACTAGATGGAACTCGCTCCCATGCCATATGTACCTTTTATTCGGAGGACTGCATCCTGGCTTTCTCTGCCGCGGATACTTTTGGCTTCTTTCCTAGGCCCTTTACGATTCTAAGTAGACTATTCTATTAGGAAATAGGATAATAATCCTTTGCAAGGCAAGACGTTTTGATGCAAAATGACTAGGCCATTGGTTGTTTAATTCTCTTTTGAATAGGTCAACAAAAAGTCACTTATGATCTGATACCTCCCCTGATACCAAGATTCCGGTCCAGGCCGAGCACGCTGGCTATTGGTAAAGAGGCAATGCTTGCAATACATCTCCGTCAGGGACCCAGACTCCATAGCTTCCATATAGATCCTTGGGGTATCGTTCCGGAAAGAAGAAGAAGAAAAAGCGACAAGAACAAGAACGGAGCGCTTTAGATGCACTGAACCGGGAGGAAGACTAAGAAAGAGGAATAGAACAGGCAGATTACTACACTGACGCATAGTTTGTTCAACCTCTTGCACAAATATTAATATTATTTTTTTGTAGGTTGGATGAAGCTAATATGAGAGATGTGCAATTGGTCTGCCATAGTAGGGATGTTGTGAGAGATGAAATTGCAGATTTGACTGCGGAAGAAGTTGCGGGCACCTCTGTAAATTCACTTTATGAGATTAGTGAGGTACTTTTTTTACCATTCAAACATATATTTATTTCTATTTTAATATATATGGATGAGTATATATAATATTTTTTTATTTTATTTTAGACTCCGGGAATTTGGGTGTGCGCAACAATTGCGTCTGTGATAGATGATTGGTGCTACCTAGCATGTAAAAGGTGCATGAGCAAGATGGAAAACAAGGATGATCGAGTCGAGTGCACCAAGTGCAATGCAACTGTTGGTATTTTTTGGTAAAATTACACTTCAATTAACCTATTATGAGATATATTAACTAATTCAAAATTTTAGAAAGCATTTTCGAATATTCGTTGCATTATTGTTTTTTAAATTATAGTTATAGGATCCGATTTGGCGTGAACGATCCTTCTGCCGATGCAACATTAATATGTTGGGATAGGGAAGGCGAGAGAATTATCGGTAGGCCTTGTCATCTGTTGAAGGTAGCATTTTCTGAGGAGGTTATTAATTTTTATTATATAAATTTATATTTAAATAATATATTTTTCGAAAATCAATTACAATTTTTTTGTTCGTAGTTGACGCAGCACCCCAATAGCTTCCATTTTCCAGACGAAGTTTCTGAATTAATTGGTAAAACTATGTTGTTCAAAGTGAGGATACAACCTGATAAGCCTGGTACTTACAGAGCAGCCTTCTCCGTTCGTGTTGTGGTTGATGAATCTTTGATCGCCAAGTATCATAATTGGCAAGTGACAAAGAGGTATGAATAATATATAAAATATGATCACCTAATTAAATTATTGGGAGAAAAAATCAAATTAATTTAATGTTATTTAAATGAGTCAAGCTTATCAAATTGATTATAACTAAATTATTTTCGTTAATCACATTTTATTTTTTATAGGAATCTGATTTTTTGACACTAATGCTTAAGGAGGACACCAACAATGGAATGGTAATATTATATTTCTTTTTATTCTACTTATTAATTATTATTCATTTGTTTAGTCTTATATCTTATTTACATTATTAATTATATTTCTTTTTATTTACATTATTTACATTATCAAATTTCGTCTCCCATAAAGATTGTTCAACAGGTCGATTCGGTTGGTGACACATCAACTGTCAAGAGAAATCTTAGGGAGGAATTAAATGCCGAAATTGAACTCGTGGTTTTCGCTGAGTCTGCAATTGTTGATAAGGGAAAAGCTAAAGTTTTGGATGAGTAAGACCGTGGAGTTATCTATATATTTTATTATTTTGAGGACAATATTTAGTTTCGTCTGATAGTATGCATTTTATTATTTTGAGAACAATATTTAGTTTCGTTTAAATTTTAGTTTGCTTGGATGTTTGGTCAATGAATGAATGAGAGCATATAGCTTTCATTGCGTTAATTAAATAATATATTCTATTGAAGGTTTTGATTATTATTATTCATGTGCATTGTTTTCGTTTTTTTACTTATGTTGATCCATTTTAGAATTTTATTTATATTTTCTGCTTATCTTAAAGACTTAAACGAGAAAGAGATAACTTTCACTATTAGCTAAAAAAAAATGTCGTACATGTAATGAAAGAAATAAATACTAAAAAAAAAGTGTAGCATCTAATGAAAATATATATAACCACGATCATTACTCATTAATAAACTTTATTAGAACATTTAATGATAGAAAAAAATACTAAAAAAAAATAAAGTGTAATATATATTATATTAATAAACTTTGTTAGTTTATTAATCAATACACATAGCATTTAATGGAAAATATCTACAACCACGATCATTATCATTATTGATTAATAAACTTTGTTAGTTCATCGTAATAGGAGTGTAGGAATATTTATTATATTTTTTTAGTAATGTTTTTCTTTCTCATTAGCTTAGTTATATTTATGTTTGGTAATTTATTATCCTAGAATTTGATAAGTTTTTGACAACTTAGTTAGTTCTTCGTAATTGACTATGATATATAAATAGACTGAATGGAAGCATATAACTTTCAACTTTTATAGTATATTCAGTTCTTATTGATTAATGAATTATTTAACTTCTATATCACAATAGTTGACGAATCAACTAAATCTAATCAACTAAATCTAATCGTCAGACATCAAAAGATTTTTAAAAAAATCACGCAATAAACAATTAATAAACATATGTAAATATACTTTACACGCTAAGTAGAGTTTGGACCGGTGTAATGAATTATTCAGTTCCATGGTGCAAGCTTAGTGTTCGGTCCAATTATGCTTTCCGGTTGAGCTTAAGAATGCAAATATGGTAAACAGTTACACCTTCACAAAAATGATTTAAATTTGGACCGGGAATGGGGATTTGTGTACTTTTTTTTTGGGAACATTTTGAGGTGAGTAGGAATTTGACATATATATTGCTTTCACTTATAGAGAAGATCATTGTCTTCTTTACCTTTATACTGCAGATGGAAGATGTTCACTCGACTGGATTAATAAGCAAGCTTCTGGAAACAAATATAGTACAAGTCCTCCGCTTTAAGCATGGACAAGTGCGCTCATGAAATCTTTGTGCTTTATCCAAGAATTTAGGCTAATTTACACATCTATATGCATTATAATGAATTTTTTAGCACATATACGACATAAGAAACTTAATAGCACATAGACGATATTTAGGTAATTTTATTTGCCTCATATGTTAAAATTCCACTAACATAAAAATATACAGACAAAAAGGCAATGAAATTTTATATTAATGCAACTTAATCCAACTCACCGAGCAGCTCCCCTTTGTATGCTCCGAAGGCATCTCCTGCCGCTGGACACTCCATCTCTTGCTCCCGCCGCCAATGTTGAGGGACCCATCAGCCCCAGTGAATCTTCCGACCTGGTGGTGCTGCCACGACTGCTGGATTCTTCTTCTTTTAAATGTTGATGGGGCCAATCTTTAATTCATTTTTTTTTCCACCATTGTTTAAGAATTTTCACCGGACACGATTGATTGAATAAAAGGATTTTAGATGATAGTTTTTTCTTATGTGAGATGTTATATCCATTTGTTTAGGCTGCATCTGGGTAAAATTTCGACAAGGTTTTGGGGGTTAGGGAAACAGTGTTGTTGCTGTACGAACCGGAGATTTGGTTCTGCGAAAGTTTAATTCGGTAATTGCAGGAATAGAAGCTAATGACATTGCTCAGGCTGAGAGGGTGGGTGGAGAAGCAGTCAATGGTTTTAATCCACGATCTTTCTCCGTCTGATGGTTTTGTGTATCGTGCAAAGCATGACCAGATAAATAATAAGGCAGTAGTTTTTTAGTGTCAAATTACTAATATTTTTAATTGTAAATTTATATTTAGTTTATTTTTAGATTATATTAGGTTTATAAACCAGTTTTTTTTTTAGTTTATATTTAGTTTAGTTTTAGATTATATTAGGTTTATAATTGTAAGTTTATATTTAGTTTATTATATGTTTACAAACCAATAAAAGAATAACAACTATAAATTTATATATAGTTTATTTTTAGTTTATTATACAAGAATACAGACTGTAAATTTATATGCAATTTATTTTCATTGTTTATAACATAAATACTCTTATACACACAAAAACCAAACATTTATTCACAAACTCACAACAGAATTACAAATAAAAATGAAACAAAACCCATCAATATATATAACTATAAGAAATATTCATAACAAAATATACAATAATCAACTAAAAACAAATGGCTTTGTCGTCTCGCATGAAAATGGATTGCAGGTTCATTCGCGAAATCCACTCATAATTATAGTGATATTATGGTTCTGTGGGCAAAATGACCCATAAATTTTTTTATGCTTTTTTGTACCACTTAACTAACTAGGATAATTCAAAATCTATATATAATGGTCCACCACTCTTTGTGCTGATTTTCGGCATTGTTAAGGAGAACTATTATTGGTTAGAGAGGATTTTGTTTTATTTGGAAATATATGATAAATTTTTATCAAGATATTTATTTTATGAAATCACATTGTAGTCAAATCAAATTTTTGAATACAAATTTTAAAATAACACTTATTTTGAAATGAATATAATGTAATTTATTATCAGTTACATTCATTGTACGAGTTGTGTACTAATTTTAAGACATATTTTATGTAATTTTGCAAAATTTAAATTTCACATAACATTTTCAATAAATTAATATAGGTAAATTGTATTAAATATTGGTTCCATATTTTTAATTTAAAAATTTTATTTAATGAACATTTTTAATTTATAAATATTAATGAAAATCTCCTACCCGTGCATCGCACGGGATTCGTCAGTAGATTGTTAATGCTGCTATTAATTCTTTTAGTATTTGGGAGATTGTACTGTGCTTAGGCTTAGAAAGAACATGCGTCTTCAGAGCATTGGCGATTCCAATGAACGTGACGAGCTAGCTGCTTTTGTTGATTGGATAGCGAGCATCGGAGATGGAACATTGGGGGGGACAAATGATGGATGTGCTTCGATAGACATACCAGATGATCTATTACTAGAGCCATCCGATGATCCAATTGCAAAAATTGTTGAAAGCACGTATCCGATGTTCAAGAATGCAACCGATGATCCAAGTTACTTGAAAGACAAGGCTATACTTGCGCTAACACTAGAGGTCGTAGAATCTATAAATGCATACATGTCGTCATTGAATTTGACTGAAGGACGCACGTATTTAAGCTCAGACAGTACGTGTAAATCTGACTCCAATACCGACTTCCTGTCACAACTTCATACTCCTGAGTTCTTGAATACTATCAAGTGTTCTGGAACACCGGATCATGAGTTGAATTTGAAGGTCGGAACTCCAGTTATGTTGTTGCGGAACACGGATCACTCAGTGGGACTCTGCAATAGTACACAATTGGTTGTGACCAAACTCTCCAATCATGTTCTCGAGTGTAAAATTCTTACTGGAGATCATGCAGCTGATAAAGTTTTGATACCTCGGATGACCACAACTCCTTCTGATGTTAGAGTACCATTCAAGTTCCAAAGAAGGCAGTTCCCCATTATGGTTTCGTATGCAATGAATATAAACAAGAGTCAAGGTCAATCCTTATTGCATGTTGGTTTATTCTTGAAGAAATCAGTTTTTAGTCATGACCAGTTATATGTCGCTATCTCCCGTGTTAATAATAGAAAGGGTCTGAAAATTTTAATTTGTGGAGAAGAAGGTTTGAAAGAAAATTAAACCAATAATGTTGTGTATAGAGAAGTGTTTAATAATATATGATTTTTTTTGTACTTTGTGTTTCTCTCTCTTTTTTTCTTATTACAATCAAATTATTAATTTATAAATAAAAATATTAAATAAAGTTTAGAAAAAAAAGGTTTGAGGAAATAACCCCACCGTACTGCGCACCGGTACTACACTATATTTTCCAAAACGTATACAGTTCGTGCATCGCACGGGTTACGTACTAGTGGGGAATTATAGTGGAAAGGTTTTGGAACATTGGGAAAATGAAAAGCGCACAAATTGGGAGGGAAAATATATTGGAATTTGGACATTTGGTGAAGAAGTGGTTCAATAAATTAAAATTATCTAAAAACGATGGGTAGGATATTTTTCTTTTATAAAAAAACTCAAATATATATACTAAGATAATCTAACATTATTGAGCAGGATAATATGTTACTATTGAACTCCAAAATTTTGAAGGAGGTTTGTGAAATTGTAAAAATAATTCATAAGTATTTCCATTTTTTTCTTCTCAAAACTCACCTCTGAAAACACTTACCATCTATGTTATAAAAATTGGCTTAGATGCCTAAGCATAAGTACTATGCGGCATCCGACAGTTAGGGTTGTAAACGAATCGAACTGAGGCGAATACTCAATTATTTGATTCGAATTTGTGGAAATCTTTGACTATTCGCATTCCTATTCATATTTGACTCGTTATCGAATTTAAATTTTTTATTCGTATTCGAATCAATTAAGATAATTGAATGTATTCAATTCAATTCGGTATTCACCATGGTTTTGAAAACCGGACAAGACCGGCCGGTTCGACCGGTTCAACAGGGAACCGGCCATGGTATCGGTCCAGTTTGATGATTTGAACCGCTGGGTGCAAGAATCGGTCGAACCGGTTCAAAACCGGAAAATCAGGACCGGTTCACACAGTCTGGTTGACAATTTTACATAATTTTAAGTACAAACGCAACCAGCCATGTGGTTCAGTGGTGTTCGATGCTCAATTTTGTGCGTGAGGTTTTGTGTTCTACCCTCACAGCGCCCACATGCACTATTTTTTCTTCCTATTTTTGTCTTATTTTGTCTTTTATATTATATGTATGTTTGGAGTGCACCATGCACCATCCCAATATCTAGCCCATGAATTTTTGATATTTAATCAAAACTAAAGCCCAAAATTAGTTTGTAGATTTTTATTCTTCACATAATGAAGAAAAAAA